TGGAACAGGGCACCATCAGGTTGCCTAAGGAAAGGTGAACTAGTCCAGGTCGGAAACGGGGCAGGTCCAAACTCCTTGCAGTTCAGTAGTGGGATCTCACCCATGAAAAGCCACTGTGCTCCACCCTGGGCAACACAGCGAGACCTTGTCTCTGAAAAGAAAAAAAGAATTTTTTTTAAATGTGACTGGAACTCAAACTTGAAACATACATCTCAAACCTTCTTGTTTCATGAACCTGAAAGCGGTTTCTGTGATTTTTTTTGCTTTGGTTTTTTTAAAACAAGGTCTCACCCTATCACCCAGGCTGGAGTGCAGTGGTCCAATCTTGGTTCACTGCAGCCTCAACCTCCTGGGCTCAAGTGATCCTCCCATCTTTGCCTCTCAAGTAGCTGGGACTACAGGAGCACACCACCATGCCTGCTAATTTTTTGTATTTGAGGTGTAGTTCACCATGTTCTCAAGGCTAGTTTCTGTGATTCTTATGTCCCGAGTTCCACTACACGAAAAAGCTCTGGAACTCCACTGACCAATGTGGCAGACATTAGCCATATGTGGCTATTTAAATTAAAATCAATTAACAGGAAATTAAGTTAAAAATTCAGTCCTTTAGTCACACTAGATACATTTCAAGTGCTCAGTAGCCACCTTGCCTAGTGGCTACCATGTTGAACAGCACAAATATAGAACATTCCGTCATCACCAATAGTTCTATGGGCCTGTGCTGTTCTTGAGAGTAGCGCTATTTTCTTTTGAGTATTTATTTCAAGGAAAGACACCTCGGATGACAGTTTGAGTAGATGACTCGTTGGTTTCATGCGTGGGTGTCTAGGGGGTAAGGGGGATCCAGCATGCTCTTAAGGTAAGCAGCTCTTCTGTGAAAATAAAACATTGAACCTCCAGGCTTCAGTACTGTCCAGGGAATGTCCAGGTGTGGTGGCTGCCTGAACAGTGGCCTTCACTACTCTCCTCCCTATAGTCATCACATGGGGGGTGACCATTTGAACCACTGTGCCAGCTCCAGGGCCCCGCCATTCTCCAGTAAAAGCTCAGAGCCCCCACATGGACCCAAAGTCCTCTTTCTTTTTAGCAAGAGGTAAGATGAAACCCACCAAAAAGTGTTTCCTAAACAAAACGGAAAGAACTAGAAGGTGAACATGTGCTGTGCAAGAATGGTCAGGCCAGCAATATTCAAGTTGCTGGTCATACCATGGCCAGCCCTTGTGTGAGGCTCACAGGTGCTGTCCCCTTTCACTCTTCTGCCCATGGCACACAGCTTTGCAGCATATTCTGTGGTTTCTTTGTTTCAAACCTGGGAATCTCCATGCGGTGGGGCACTGTCTCATTTCCTGTTACAGGACAACTCCCTTTTTTTCCAGAGTTCAAAACCCACAGCTTCAACTGAGACCCTATTCTTATATATCAAGGTTTAGTCCCTTACAGGCCTCACACAATAATGCCTTTCCATTAAGTGGAAAAAGAGCCATTCAATAAGAATTATACACCATTAATAGCCAGGTCATAGGCCA